GTCTGGCTGAAGGGAAGCTGCAAGAGACTTGAGTTTTGGACGCGTGTCCTTTTTAGTGCTCTTCTATGATAAAGAGAATAAACTTTTTTCCCTTCTACCAACAAACTGTGCGATTTTCATTTGCAGAAATGATTGTTCACAAACAGTTTTGAGCAAGCAGTAATGAGGCCTGTGTGAGATGGCAGTATGCACAATGTAATGTAATTTCACAAACCTTCACGACTTGGTGATAGCACAAATGTCGCGAATTAATTGAAATGAAAAGTGGCTACTTGTAGTCGTATTATTTGGCACCGAGCGTTTCACTTTCATGGATCCACGAGATGAGGGCACACAATCAGTGAATATTCAACTGGCTTCTCCAGAACGAACAGTGGCATTCATCACACGAAAGGTAGCATGCACGTACTGTTCAGAATAGAAAAGTAGGAAAAGTACAAGGGAAAGTTGGAAAGAGGTAATAAAAAGTGAAGTGAGTCATTGCTGGAACATCATTAAGCAATAATAGCTTACAAAAAAAGACTACTTTCATGCATTTGGCAGCCTTATTCCAGGTAAGGGCAACCCCAGGACATCACTGGATTTTTTTAGAAACCATTTTCCCAAAATTACTAGAAGTGTGGCAAGTGACCATTCGAAGTGCCTGGCTAGAAAATGTGCATTTTGTGCAAGTGTGCCGACCCTCTGCGCTAGTTTTACATCACATGAAGTAACTGCGCTCTTGACCGACCACACAACAGGTATTTTAGTTAATTATGTTTTCGTAAGTCGAAGTTTCAACTTCGGTTCTACCAGCATCATGTGCAATGCGAATGCAAGCAGCCATTCTGGTGCAAAAATACAAGCCAGTTTTGTATAATGTAGAAGTTACAGAAACTCAATTCTGCGACTTTCATGATGACGCCTTCGCTATCAGTGATAATGTAGGCAGAGTGTTACTGGATTACCAGCAAAAGGCATAAAGAAAATAGCAAAGGTACAGGGTCATTTCTTGCCAATGAATAGAGCTAGACCAGTCATCAATGACTTCATATTGGTTGACAACAGTACATGAAATTTTGAAATCACGAACTGGTCTTGGCAACTAAATATACTGGAAACTGTGATAAAACTTTACAGAATTCAGTATTTATTGAAGTGACACAGGTTCCAGTCTCGAGAGAAACTAAACTGTTGCACCATGTGGCCGATCAAGTTTACACGCAGCCTCCATTCACTTCAGTTTCTGCCAATAACCACGTTGTGCATCACACAAACAAATGCAGTTTTTTAATGTGTGCGCCAGGATGGATCCTCGAAAAAAAGAAAAAAAGCGCGACATAACCGGAATCGCGACGTAAGACATATATTCTTTAGGCGTGAGGAAATACGTGAGAAGTGGTCGACCAGATGAAGTAGCAAAGGCACAGGCCTACTGGTCAGGCTAACAGCATCACACAACAGTGGGAAGCTGCTACTTTAAGATGAAAAACGGCGTTGCTCACCAGACCAACGTAAAAGCACCGCTGCCACTTGATGTGGTCGAACCTGCCTTGAAGCCATTTCAAAGAGACACCTACCTAAAGAGTATATATGTTACACTGTGACCGGAGCAGAGAACCAATCAGTCGCATCGGAAAACACAGCTGCATAGATGTCCAAACTAGTGTGGTCTATAGCGGTGATGCTAATGCACATCATCGCAAGATCTGCTAGAGTGACTGGCTGGCAAAGTGAACTAAAATCACCTTCTGCAGCGGTTATTCAAGTATGTGCGGAGGTTCGCCTACAAAAGCTCGCGAACCGTGCAGTGAATCGAGAAAAGAACACAACAACCTCCACTTCGTGCCCTCGACAGCGATCGAAACCAAACCAGAGTACAATATGACAACTATTTCTCACAGTTACAGAGCACATTTCCGACGTCGAAACATTTCACACATACGCAAATATTCTAAAAGAGAAATGAAACGACGAGCAAGTCAGAATGTCAACATTTGGAGTTTGTTGCATCAGGCACATGATAAAACAGATCACCGAGCAAACGGAAGTAATAGACACAAACGAAGCTGTTAATAAGGTCCTATGCAATCAAAAGCAAATATATTAACAAGTAGCTCGGCGAGCCTGCTTCTGTTAGTCTCAAAACGTTTCGATACATGTACACTTTCGTTAGTGATGATTGCTTTGTTGATTATTGCTAAGACCCACAGGGGAACGTGCAGCAGGTAAAAGCACACGGAGAGGCTGCCAGACAAACCACAGCCCAAAGGGGAACATACGCGACAAAACTCACAAAGGAAGCATGAACACCTTTCTTTGCGCTGCTCACATTTTTCCAGCAACCTTGCTGGCCAGGCTGGCAATGGTCGACAAACTGCCAACAGTTTCGAGCGAGAGAAAGAAAAGTCTTTGCATAGGATAGACTCTCCGCTTGTCTGACGTACATAGACAGACAAATCACCATTTCTAAAGGTTAGGAACAAATGTAAACACACGATGCGGCGAGAGATATCTTCCAGGCCCACACGTTTGTTTGCTCCTGTCTGTGCAGGAGCGGCAACGACACCGCCTTTTCTCTCCGCAAGGTTCAAACACTGCAAGCATTCAATAATCTGTCGTCAACACAAACACACACGCACTAACACAGATGCAACATTTGAGAGCTTGAGCAAGTTGATGACACAGTAGCGCGAACGTACATCAATATACTGGGCCTACTGGGAAGAAGCGGTGCTTGCAACGAAATCATGCAGTGTAGCAGGGAACCGACTGCCACGAGCTTTGAACGTTCTTGCATTGCATGAACATAGTCGTTACATATTGCAGAAACTGCAAAGATTAAGAAAGGCTTCTTAGGAAGGCTAGGTGGTTCAGAAAAACATGGCAGAACCGTGCAAAAATGGGACAGCACACATAAAGACAGAACTGTGTCCGGTGGTTCACTATCCCATATTTTCTGCTGTTCTGCCACAAAGATTAAGTGTAGTTATGTTACATTCCAAGCAAGCTTACGCCTGCAGATCAATAGAATAGAGTTAATAGCTGCAACAGATGTGCCATGCACAAATGGTTCAACAAAGCACGAAAGGAAATCGCTGCAGTGCTTCTTCCCATTTCCATGATTTCTATTGCACGACCATGCTAGTGCGTCTCCTCCATGCTCCCGCTCTAATTTAGTATGCAAAGCGACAGAAAAAGAGAGAAAAAAATCGGCCTAGTGGTAATAATGTTTCTGTACAGATGGTGTTCGTGTTACTACTGTCATCTAAAATTGCTCCAGCTACTACCAACTAAACCACGCCGTGGTTGGCGCTTTTGGCACAGAATAGCTCGCTCTCCTCGTTTGCAACAACTCGAAGACCCTTCACACAGGCGCATAGCCAACAACATCGCGCTCCTTGAAGCAAAAACTCCCAAGACACCATCCCGTCGTCCATGACAAACCACGACACTTTACTGTGGGCAATAAACTCAGTGAACTCTTTCCGATATAGTGCCCGCAAAGAAACAATGCCAGACTTTTGGCTAAAAAAACAAAAAACACAGCACACACAATACTGCGTGCAACCACAGGCTTGAGCACAGTGACGCGAAAACTTCTCTTCGTATAGCTGCATCATCGTTGCAAAATCGAATCGCCACTGGATCGTCTGCTGCGCCAACACACAGTTTCTCCCCCCCCCCCCCCCCCCCGGAGCGTCCAGAAAACTTCACCGACAATGCGACGAGCAGTAAACACACACTGTCAAAAACAAAAAGCCCCGTGCTTGCTTGCATACACACACAGACAAAATGCAGAAGCATCGAAGAGCGCGATGGCCGGACGTTGTCGAATGCTTCTTCGTGCCCAGTTTTGGCATCGAGGCACAGCAGATGACCAGAGCTGCACGACCAGAGATTCCCAGGATGTCTTCAAGTGTTGACGATAGATGCCATTTGAACTGGTTGTCTTGCACAGCATGTTAATGCGTGGTTGGGAGCCACACAGCATTGTTTCTATGCACGAAGGAAGCACTCCACAAGGTAGGCCACCTCAATATTTGTACAGTCGATTTAGACAAGGCAAAACGCCGGGCCATTTGACACAAAAGGTAACTAAAAAACTCTGGCCGACATCTAATTAAGGTTGTCCCGTGCATGGATGGGCATGGTGAAGGTATGTTTTTCTTGTTACCAACAATTTATATTTTGACAAAATAGTGAACTCACAAAAGAGAAGCTCAGAAAAGAGCGTGTGTGAACATATATGCGAGGTTTTCCGCAACACGTCTAGTCTTGCGTTCCGCTATGTGCCACTGGTCGCTCGCCATCTAATACAACAATAATAATGAAAGAAAACTGAGACTAAGATGCACAGAAAGTCCTGCCTCTAATAAATCAGGGACCGCCGCAAAGTGGAAGAATGCACTTTCCTAAGGACACCTTTGCGACATTACATAAGCGACAAAATGTGAAAAGAAGAAAGTAAGCCCCGCTAAAGTGCTGTGCAATGATGAACACTCAACATATGGCAGCCTTCACTGCAAAAACACAATGACACTTAAACAAATGACAGTTCTACAGAACTGCCGCGCCAAATGCTGCTACAGTATTAAGTCAGTCGCTATTCAAGTTACAAAAATTGAATTTGAAAAAAAAGAACTGCTAGAAATGCTGGAGCATTAGTCATGGTATGTCATGGCTTTTACGAAATTGGGAAGGCGGTAGGTAGGGACACACTCACTCACTCTCAAAAACATTTTTCCTTCCTGTTGAAACATTCACTGCAATGCAGCGTAGCACATCGGGAAGAGGCATTTATTCATAACATTTAAGTTTATGTAGATCTATTTGTGTGTGTGTGTGTCCGTATGTATATATGTATATTATATGTATATAATATTATTGTATATACTATAGCATCTGCAACTATTCATAGTGCAGTAAGCAACCCTCTGCATATCATATATTACAACATCCCTCGTCCCACGCGTTATTACTTCCGCACGGCAGCGGCGTATAACTCCAGTGGCCGTTTCCTTCTCCGTGCGTACAACGCTTGCACGGAAATTTAATGAGCATTTGCCTATATCTATTCGTTCCAATTTTCAATGAACAGAGATTATGAGGCTCACAGAATGAGAAGCGAATTGAACTTTTTTACGACTAACCGCCTCGCATGCAATTGCAATTTCGCAGCGGGGAGTCACGACAAAACGCACGACCACGTTTAATCATAGTGAACGCTTCCCAACGATTGATTGACGGGCTAGCGACGCCACTTTGTCACTAGGTGACGCAGTGCATCAGTGGCCCTGGACAGCCCTATGTACAGGCTGCTACACTTCTAACACATGCCTTTGAAATCTCCAGAGAACAACGTGCTTCCTTTTTTTTTTGTTGCATTTAGAACGTCATTGTGCGAGTGCACATTATTGCCTTTTAATCTTTTTTTTTTGCCTTTGAAATCAAAGGCCACTGCAAGGAAGAAAAGGAAGGTTAGAAACGTGGCATGCCTCGCACACTCGCGTCTTGCATTGTTCTAGTATCAAGTAGTCTGTCACAGACGTGCATCGTAGAAAACAGCGATGAGAGAAGGGAAAACTGGAATATTGTTACAAATCAAAACTACAGACCACTTTCAATGGACCTGAGCAAATGAAGAAGTGTCCAATGTAACAAGCTCTGCCAGTGAAGGCTTGCCGGAAGAGACACCTACAAGCCCTGAATGAAAGAGAAAGCGCACGACAACTCCTTCAAACACAACAAATTATAAACGGGGTGCCAGAAATCCTTGATGTCTACGATAAACACGAGTAAAAAACAAAATGATGTTCTTCAGAACGTACTCACAAAAGATAGAGGCGAATGAATGAGACCGCAAGAAATCTGCACGACTGTTAAGCGATAAAAAACCAACGTAAGCCGCGAATAAGGAAATAAAATTAACTGCATGACAATTAAAGCACGATATTAAGTTATAGACTGCAAAAGTACACGCAAAGCTCTTCATTCAATCGATCTTAACCGCGCGAGTTTTGGTCAGCAAGTGCGGCAACTTAACGTGTGTGAAGTTCAGTCAGTGGTGATTTTACTTGGAAAATACCGCTCCTCCGCATCTTAGCAGCGTGGAAAAGCACACTAACAGGCTAAAAAAATTTCAAGTGCTAGCCTCGAACTCACAGTTCTGATGCTAACTAAAATGAACAATCACTGCAATGCAGAACCTGCCAATTCGCCAGATATGGTTGCTTAAGAAATAGGGTGGGGAAAAACGGAAATTAAAAAAAAAAACTTCGGCTCAGAGATGCACTCTAGTACGTGTTTTTAGGTGATTAAAATACAGCAGGACAAGAAAAAACAAAAAAACAAAGGAGCATTGTGCTAAAAGAAATTGCAAATGCCGGCTCTCAAAACGCCTGAGCTGAAGAAGCAGTACAAAAAACATTTTGCCACTGCCTTTGGAGGAGTAAAAAAAAAAAAAAAAAAAAACTCCACCACTCAAACAAAATTATGCCTCTTTAGGGAAGCCTGATATACACCCTTAAAGAAGCAAAATGCATACTTTTTGAGGTCCTAAAGGTGTATTTTTGTCGAGATACTATTGCCACCATAATTTTGTGAATTTCCCGAGTCCAATGACCCCACTGTCTGAGCTAATAGCCAGGACACGCTGTACTCGCTACTATAAATAACTAGACACACAAAAATTTTGGGGAACACATACACAGAAAATAATTGTTAGACTGTTAGGCTTGTCAGGCGGTGACAAGCCAGTTTCCACAAACTTCTTTCTTCCTTATAAAGTTGCACAAGTAAAATTTCATAGTTTATGCTTATCAAAGAGCGAAAACAGCAAGAACCAATTTGCAGACTTAGTTTCTGTGCATTGCGTACTTTAATCTATTGAAACCGAGTTCTGATGGAACCATTCTTGCAAATGCACTCCTAGCAAGTATCTGATGAGAACCGACAGGATGTGCAGATGATGTACTTTCCCCTGCGATCTCCCCTTTCCCGTTTCTGTTTCTAATGTAAGATAACAGAGGGAAGACGAACAGATAATAAAGATGCCACACGGCGAAGCCCCAGCACCAGTACTTTTTTACATGACACATAAAATGTAATTAATTCACGGGAATAAGCCACAAAAGCAGAGAGCTGATCTGGCAATTTGCAATGAAACGAAGCTGCTACTTGAGCGCAAACAGACAAAATATGGAAGGTTCTCAAGCAAAAAACGAAAAAGCAGAGAACACAAAGCGTGCCACCGATGCAGAAATAAGTCGTGCTCCGACCTCTGAAAGTTCGCAAAAAGTTCTACCACTTCGCTGCGCTGGCACAGAGAAAGGAATAGACAAGCGAAAGCAAATTGCAAAGATAAATCTTAATGCAATAGTTTGTTAGCGAGTGAAAACAATTATGTGCGCACTGAACTGAACAGTATTTGCTTCGTGCTTCCCGCGGCAGACGTTCAGCGGTAGATCTATTGCTCTAGTGCCCACCACTACGGCTTCGGCACTTCTGTCGTGCGCTTGAATTCTTCCAACCGAGCTGACGAGCATTACAAATTGGCGTTCCCTTTAACGAGCAAAAGCTTTGCATTTTGCTGCGATCTCGGCAACAAGAGGGGCCAATCATCAGTAATTAAAGGTACAGCGCACTGTGAAACGCCACACGTGCAGCTTCGTTAAGGAATGCACGTTCGAAACACCCGTGCTTCGAATGCCAACAAGAAAAAAAAAAAAAACAAAGGAGCATTGTGCTAAAAGAAATTGCAAATGCCGGCTCTCAAAACGCCTGAGCTGAAGAAGCAGTACAAAAAACATTTTGCCACTGCCTTTGGAGGAGTAAAAAAAAAAAAAAAAAAAAAACTCCACCACTCAAACAAAATTATGCCTCTTTAGGGAAGCCTGATATACACCCTTAAAGAAGCAAAATGCATACTTATTAACGTCCTAAAGGTGTATTTTTGTTGAGATACTATTGCCACCATAATTTTGTGAATTTCCAGAGTCCAATGACCCCACTGTCTGAGCTAATAGCCAGGACACGCTGTACTCGCTACTATAAATAACTAGACACACAAAAGTTTTGGGGAACACATACGCAGAAAATAATTGTTAGACTGTTAGGCTTGTCAAGCGGCGACAAGCCAGCTTCCACAAACTTCTTTCTTCCTTATAAAGTTGCACAAGTGAAATTTCATAGTTTATGCACATCAAAGAGCGAAAACAGCAAGAACCAATTTGCAGACTTAGTTTCTATGCATTGCGTACTTTAATCTATTGAAACTGAGTTCTGATGGAACCATTCTTGCAAATGCACTCCTAGCAAGTATCTGATGAGAACAGACAGGATGTGCAGATGATGTACTTTCCCCTGCGATCCCCCCTTTCCCGTTTCTGTTTCTAATGTAAGATAACAGAGGGAAGACGAACAGATAATAAAGATGCCACACGGCGAAGCCCCAGCGCCAGTACTTTTTCACATGACACATAAAGTGTAATTAATTCACGGGAATAAGCCACAAAAGCAGAGAGCTGATCTGGCAATTTGCAATGAAACGAAGCTGCTACTTGAGCGCAAACAGACAAAATATGGAAGGTTCTCAAGCAAAAAACGAAAAAGCAGAGAACACAAAGCGTGCCACCGATGCAGAAATAAGTCGTGCTTCGACCTCTGAAAGATCGCAAAAAGTTCTACCACTTCGCTGCGCTGGCACAGAGAAAGGAATAGACAAGCGAAAGCAAATTGCAAAGATAAATCTTAATGCAATAGTTTGTTAGCGAGTGAAAACAAGTATGTGCGCACTGAACTGAACAGTATTTGCTTCGTGCTTCCCACGGCAGACGTTCGGCGGTAGATCTATTGCTCTAGTGCCCAGCACTACGGCTTCGGCACTTCTGTCGTGCGCTTGAATTCTTCCAACCGAGCTGACGAGCATTACAAATTGGCATTCCCTTTAACGAGCAAAAGCTTTGCATTTTGCTGCGATCTCGGCAACAAGAGGGGCCAATCATCAGTAATTAAAGGTACAGCGCACTGTGAAACGCCACACGTGCAGCTTCGTTAAGGAATGCACGTTCGAAACACCCGTGCTTCGAATGCCAACAAGAAAAAAAAAAGACGAGACGGCTAAAATCATTGTGTAAGGAGCAGAACAACAACAATTCAACGATCGCCGCACGTTCTGGTTGCCAAAAAGCAGCCGTGTCGTCCGAGAATAACACGTAACACTGTCTCGGGGAAACTCGCTCTGCCACCACCACATCACAACGATAAAATAAAAGAACAGCTAAATCCTCCCTCTGCTTTGAAATGGTAAAATGTACCGAAGTTTTCAACATCCAGGGGGTTCATTTCACTTGACTGCAGGCTCTCACCGCCGCTCCCTCACGCCCCCGACCAGAGAATTCTTGCTTTGCATCATCAGTTGCTGCTGGCTGGTCGCCACCTTCGCCAGGTTGAGAAGTGCGTGGGCTGCACCTTCCGCCATGTCTTCGACATCCCTGCTGCTATTGCTGTTTGTCACCGATGACGAGGAAGCAATGCAAGCCATGGCAGAGCTGCCACCGCTCCGGCTGCGTGCGGAAGTCACGCTGTTCGCTTGACGTTTTGACTTGCGCGGGAGTGCCGCCGCCGCCGCCAGGGCAGCCCTCCGCTTGCGCGGAGGCACTGATGATAGCGGAAGACGGCCGAGTCCTCCGCCACAGCTGCCAGAACCGCCACTACCGTTGCTGTTCTCCTCCTGGAGATTGTCGTCTTGCTCGGCTGGCTCCTTCTTTATTGACGGTATCACCGTCGTTCGAGCCAGCTGAAAAGAAGAGCACAAAGACGAAATGCATTAAATTGCCTGCAGTACACATTACACGGATGCCTCTTTTGTACCATGACAACAGAGCGGATACAAATAAATAAATATGAACATCTTCCAGGTCACGGGGGGGGGGGGGGGGGGTAAACTTAGAGCAAAATGGGCATTCTTTGGAATATTCAAAGAAATGCACAATGTGTACATCTTACGATACGGGACCAATTTTTAATAAAAATTGGTCCCATTTCTGCATGTTACACTGCAAATGTCGTCGAGAGACGAGAGTCTTGCGTCTGGAGAGAGTGAACAAAATGTTTATTTGATGTTCTGCGCAAAAAAATCAGTTAATGGTATTCTGGAGGTGCTACGTTAGAGTGCCTCGAGCGTGCAGTGGAGGCAAACAAGCGCATCAAGTCTTGTCACACGCGAGACATAAGCGCTATCTGGCAGTTATCTTGGAAAACGAAGCGCGCAGTGTATGCGCCCGTCTCGGAGGCGATAAGGTGTAGAACGCAAGGCGACGGGTAAGTGCTACCACCTGTATCGTCTTAGCGAAGCGTTTAAACACTTTCCTTTTTCGTGCAAGCATTGCATCGTCAGTGCAGCATGATAAGCGCTACGGTTTTTAGAATTCGTATGTATGCCTTTTCTAGTAAAAAGACACACATACAGAATATTGACATGTCGTTATGGTGCCTCAGATATGTGCAATAATTGCTTTTTAATTGACAATCGCACAAGTGTGAACGCTAAATTTTGAGCAATATTGGTGGGCGGTGCGGATGGGGTCAGCTGTTTGGAGTATCGTTTGGTGCCGTTTAGAGTAACAAACAGACAAATAGACAGACCAAAATTTTGCATCGAAGGTCCCCAAGAAAGACTATCATCTTTAAAAAAGGACATGCTCATCAGTCATGGTCGGGACACAATATCACGTAGAGCACGGTTAAAGAAGGATTCATCATTACCATTCTGACATGTACTACTGCAAGACAAAGGACCTTCTCCAATATTTTGCTAATATGTCATTTTTTTTTTTTGCCAAACCGGTCTTGTGTGTGCTGCGGCCATGTTAGCATCAGAAGCTTTTTAATCTCATGTGCCAGCTTAACTCTGTCATCTTGCCTTTAGGCTTCACGCTTTAACCATGCCCATTTCTTCTACATATCGACTAGAATGTATTTGGGGTTTCATATTGCGAAACCCGTGCGTTCCTACGACCCAACTTTCTTCTTGACCCTTGGAGGTTACACTTCCGATTTTTCTTTCTGTGGCTCGTTGGATTACCCACAATTCTAGTCTAACTACACTCAAACCTCATCATGATGAAGTAGCATGAAAATAAGTTTGTTATATGCAAAAGTTCGAAATAAAGGTGTACTTGCAACACTATATCTATTGCAAGGCTATTCATTTACTTCGTTATAACCTATATTTCTTTATATCTGAATTCTCTATATTGAGGTATGAGTGTACTTTTGAAAAAGGAAGAGGCACTGCTATAACCTACATCACAACGAACAAGTGAGGAAATTTTCTGTTCATATTCTTCGCACAATCGCCCCCCCCCCACCTCCCCCTACATTGGCTAGTTTGTGCTTCAAAGACACAACCCAGCCAGTCTATCTGAATAGATCCTTGTTTACTGCCTCGTTAAATCAGACATGAGGAACAAGGTAGCTGCTTACTGAGATGGAGACATTGTACAAGGCATCGGTCGAATCCCCACCAAGGCCGTTCAAGAGCGAGGCACTGTACGTGTGATCCTCGCTCGGGCTGCTCGTGATCACTGTCGTATTGGCACTGCCCGGAGTCTGGGCCGCCTCGCTGCTGCGATTTCTGACCGACAAGGAAAAAAAAAATACAGAGAGAGGATGCACTTCATATCGTAACAAGGGCAATGGCTGCATCAGTTCAACAATAAGATTAATCTGGCATAAATCTCCCGGGTTTCAGACCCAAAACCGACGTGTAAAAACTGCGCTTTGGCGTCTAAAGGTGCGAAATGAAAAAGACGCAAAGCTGAACATCCATGTCAAAGAGCGTGCTATATTTCACTGAACGTCCTTTTCTTCTTCGTCATTCTCGAAGTCTCTCTCTATGTGTGTGCCATTTTCGCAGGAGGTTCGAAAAATTTACAACACTGGCAACAAAACTGGAAACAACTTCCAGACTAATTCTATACAAAAAAAAGGCACTGTCGCTTTGACGAGAGTTGACAGCAACTTCTTTCGCAATCCACATTTTAGGCTGTGAATCTCCACAGAGCCCGTATGGTCAAAGCGAATCACATTTTACACTGTCAAGAACAGTTTGTGCATAGTTTGCAGAAAAGAAAACAAAATGTCTATATTGCAACATGAGGCGACTATACCGTTGTTGTCGATCGTCTGACACATTGGGGCAAGTATGTTTGTTCAGGTATAATTTTTGTTTGGGCAGGAAGCTTTATGTGAAATATACGATGAGCTTGAAAAAGTTGTCACTGTGGGCTCCTGTAGAGAAGACGCAACGATTAAAAATTTTCAACGTAACGTAGCGATTAAAGCAATGCACGTCACTTTCCGGTAACAGCACGTTACCTTTTTATATTGTACGTGACGGATTTTGTTACCATTTATCAGTAACACCTACAATTGATTACAAGTGCATCTACACATAAAATCAAACGCGTAAACAGGCACATGCGAAGGCGAAAGGAGGATGCCATAGATCCGACCGTGGATCGTTCCGCACATAACACTCGGTTTATGAACTTCTGAATGTCGTACACACATTACGGTAAAGAATTACGAAGTATCTGTACGGAATCTATATGGAATAAAGACGCACCAGGCAAACTTACCGTAGCCTGAGGTGTTTCTTTGTGAACATGACCGGGCTTGGAGGCGAGGCCTGGTAGCCATCATTTTCTTCCTCTTCGTCTTCCTCGCCACCTTCAGTACATTACACATTACACAATGACACACCCCTCAGAGACCTCTATTCAAAAGTCGTCTGGCCACAAACATAGACTATGAAATCCTCTTCATGTAATATATATGGTGCCCCTAATTTCAAATATAATCTTTGTAGCAGAACACACAGTACAGTGTGACTGGACAAAAATTTTTCACTGCAACCAATTGGCTTCGTGTTTAACAAACAGCCACATTGGACAACATACGTCAGTATACTTTACTGAAGCGTGACGCAACAGTTAGTTGTGTTAAGCTGATCCCAAGTGTTGAATGACCATTCGGAAAATTTTCACACAGGTGCATGAACCCTTAGCAAGAAGATTGCTTAGATCAGCTAGCTGGGTAGCACTGTCTTACAGATGAAGCGCAATAACTAATCACGAGCTGGAAAGCCTGTAAAATAGAAACGATAATCACTGTGAAAATGCTACGTCAGGAGAGAATTTTCCAACAATGTTCAATTCTTAAACGAACACTGCGATTTTCACGCTTCTGAGATACCAACTGTTTAGAGTTGACTTTTGCTATGAATAACACAAGAAAGCTTACTCAATGGAGGCAGGATACTGGTCACATTCTGCAGCGCCAACATTGCAGCGGCAGCGGCGTCAACGTCCTGATCTGCAAGGCACATAGGAGCACGTCAGCAAATAGCAGCATCAGCAATGCTCTGGTTCGCGCTAGCTGGTGCATTCTTGAACAGATAGATAGCAAGGCAGTGCAAAAATACACGGACAAAGAAAGGGCATCGATCAAGTGCACATGCTACTCTTCATCCTCGCTTTCTTGTTTTTTTGAGCAACCCTGCTCTATGTGTTCAAGCTGCATCAGGATTGCAAGTATTATCAGACATCAAACACAACACCCCGGAGTAAAGGCCCTCTGCTGCATGCCTATGCAAACGCATCGTTTTCCCAATTTCTCATGTACTCATGGGGTTTCATGTCCCCAAATGAATGAGAGCGCACTTGGGGATCCTGTGATGGTACTACAGAGTATTTAATGTCATCTAATGTTATAGGAACCATCCATCGATTATCCCAGTGAAATAACATTAGACACCGAAAGACTATCTTCTTATTGTGCATACACATACTCAGGGCTGATTAAACCAATTACTTATTTGACTAAGCATAATGTTCTGGCTCTATTAGGCTCTACTACTGGTTTGGCAGTTCCATTTAACAGTGGACTGTCTCGGACATGCAGCAATAACAATGCAGCCTGCGCTAACCTTTCGTTGAAGATGCGGCAAGCCTCTTCGACAGGAAGGGGAAGAGTGCTGAAATAATAAAATTAATTTGATTCGATAAATAACCGAGGTGTCGTTCAAATAACAGGTAGTAATTATTTTTTTTACTGGCATGATAAACGATGCAAAAGTAACCGAAGTAAAAAAGCAAGGCGAAAATTCAAGAATTCGAGCAAATACAGAAAATAGCCCCAGTTGCCTCATTTCTTCTAACAATAAAATGCAGGGCTTTGCATTACGGATTTGCAAGGTGTGTCACATGAGCGATGCTTCAGCGGAGTGACCAAATTAAATTTGGCATTTTGGAGGTATCTAGTCAGATTCCCCAGAAGGAAATAAATATACGCATTTATGCATATTGCCATCACCTGAACGCATAAAGAGATGAACAACTTTCTTACGCACAGAAGACTGTCCTACTTCAAGCCAGTAGTAATTGCCACCAGCGGGTACCAGCACTACATTGCCGCCCGTCTGTAGCAAATGTAATTACGGCAACAAAAATAATCTATTCAAGAACTAAATTAAAGACAAAGCGGAATGCGCTACGTAAGAAGTTTGATTATTGGTACTTCACAAAACACTCTACTAATGCCATGCCTCACTTCGCAATTTCCAAATAGCCCCTGCTGCATTGTTGCCACTGCTGCACTAATTACGTTCCGCACTTAAGTTTTTCCCTCGTGATGTGAAAAGGCACAAAAACTAGAAATTCGCAGTCCTGTGCTTGCTAAGCCAAGTCGATTTCTGTGCTATTCCGTGTCTCTTTTATGTGCCTTTTTCACATCATGAGTCAACACCAACAAGTCCATTTTTTTTGCATTTGTTTTGCAGAAGACATGACGTGTAAAAGGTCAAGTCAGTCATATCAATCCGGAAATAATGGCTAACTGTAATGCTTTTAGCCCTCCATTTCCTTTTATAGCTGTTGCATTAAAAGCACCTATCTAAGTACACCTTCTCCAAAACGAAGACTGACTGAAAGCTTGACGACATCTCGGTTTCAGTGCTATGAAGAGCGAACGCATGAAAGGCAACAGGAAACGAGCTTATCCTGTCATCTTTCGAGTGCTTGTTCATTTCAGCGCTGAAATCGGTGCTGAAATCGGCATGTCGTCAAGTGCTCACCAGCTATCCCAGAAACAAGTTCTTCTTAAAGGGACACTAAAGAGCAAAACGATTTTTCGTGTATTAGTGAAGTACAATTTCACAATCCCCAAAAACACCACTCTTACCACAGCACGACACTCGGTAAGCAAGAAAACGTGCGAAAAGAAACTGCGAATGGAGATGCCACCTTGAGGTTCCCGCACCGAACACTGTGGCATCATCAATTTTCGAAGGCGTCAACCCCCACATAGCTTCTAATCAATAAAATTGAGGTACATTGTAATCTGTGGGTGCCATATACTTGCATACAGAGTCTCCGAAAATTTAGTCAAGCCAATGCCGCAAAAATACAAAAAATACATTGTGGAATTTCTTACGGCACTAAATTTAAAAATGAAATTCAACCTTGATTTTCTTTCCTAATAATGTACTCATGACAGCAAAACTTTTGACATTATAGAGTTGTCAGAGTGCAGTTCACCAATCTAAAAGAACTCATTGTTTCTCTTTAGTGTCCCTTCAATCAAAGCTTTGGCACTATCACCTATTACTACAGAGCTTATAAATGCCATTCTGCGCCAGGCAATGACCACAACACCTTTTACATAGCTTTCAAAATGTCCTGCGAACAGTACACTGGACTTAATAAGTCCAGTAGATCATTTAAACGGACCTTGAAAGAAGGAGGAAAATATGTTCCATACAAGTTCTAACTGCCGAGAGATGAATGGGGTGCAGAATTGAAGAATGAAACCTATCTTGCCAATCACTGAAGAGACTTTCACTTACCTTCTGTATGTATAGATTGCTACAGTTGAAAAGAACACTTATAGACTACTTTATGGATGGGTTTGGGTGCCACCATGTTCCGCTGCTAACCTTTGTGCTTTGCATCTTTGGCAACTAAATGAACAGTGCTGTATTAAATGCATACGCATGAAAACGGTTCGGTTGGTGCATACGATGTTTGATGGTGTTATAAATTGATGTCGCAATATATATAAAAACAAGAAAACATCGCCTTGACAGCCTAAGATGTCGGTTCCCACGTCTTAGGTATAACGGTACTATCGGAGACATCTGCACCAAATTCAAATTAACGGCACCACAAGTGGTGACCAATTCGTAACCACCAGCGATTATTTAACGCTGTCAAGTTCCGACTAATGCTCTCACAGCAGCACGGACACATCCACTTGCAAGTTTCAGTAAACTCCCGATTTACACGCCAGGATGTCGGGATAAGTGCTGTCAATACACAAAAAGATGCACTACCCGAAGAAAAAGTATTAAAATTTTTGTTGGGCCGGCGCATAAGTTGAGGGCACAAAAATAGGATGCCCGCAACCACTAAACCAGCTCGAGATTTTATAGCAGCGTTCAGCACAAGCAACTCCTCTACACTTGGCTGCTCAAGAACATCACACTGCGTATATTTCTTGTATATTCCCAGCCTCGGTGCATTTGCTAAAAGCAAGACCCTAACCTCGAGGCAGCAAAGCGTAAAGAACACCCTATTTACCAGTCTCAAAATATGGTCACAAAATCTTGTACAGAATCTACTATGCAAAATTCGATGCACATTTCTAGTGCCCGAAGAAAGAAGGCTAACATTCCTGAGCTGTAGGCAGCGGATACTCAATTCGGGTGTCCACGATTGTCGATGATTGTAAGATTCTTAACAAGGCCAAAAGTCTTCAACATTGCACTCTTGTTCTAGTCCTCAGGTTTGACCCAATATTTAGAGTGGAGAAGATCGACCTCAATTTTTCCTCTCCTGTCGGCCGACAGCTTTTCTTTTTCTTTTGTCAAACAGATATTAGAAGAGTCATGCACTGTACTTTCACAGATTAACTGATTCAGTGGTGTCTCTTTTACCATCAACAGCTAAAGACATTGCCCTCTTCACATTTCTGGCAACGTATAACGTTCGATCCGCTCACAACACACAAGGGTCGATGAAGAATACAGAAGTGTTTGCAATGCTTACTGGGTGACGGAACATTGTTCTGGGCTTGAGATGGGTCTGGAGACGAGGCTTTATCACTGCAAAGATAAAATGACTAATGCAAACACAGATAAACCCTGCAGACAACCAATATTGCTCCAACTTTTTAAAGAGAAGTGCACCAACTAGGCTTAAATGAAGTTTTATTGTAGGACTACATGTTTTCCTTGATGTTTCATTGTTGTCCTGAATATCGCTCTATTGGGCTGCCAATTATAGAAGAAACAAAACCTCCCGTTGTGATTATCACAATCCTTATGACACAAACCAAAGTACAGGTGGGCAATTTCAAATGCGGAACCTACAAGGGCCCCGCAACACTTTTTGAAAATGGTCAGAAAATGCTGCGAATCGGCACTAGAGGCACCTGAAAACGTGAGCCAAAGTCCCAGTGAAGCGTGCAGCATGGAATTCACGATTAAATCTCAAAGCCAGCAATAAATCACTCGCCCTTCCTTCGACAAATGATGCCATATACCCAAAATCAACAGCGTCGCATGTTCTAAAAGGGCATGAACACCGCCATAGGCCCATTTGAGCATCGTGAGCTATATAGTTACTGCGATTGATTGATGATTGATTTGTGGGGTGTAACGTCCCAAAAGCACCATATGAATTATGAGAGACGCCGTAGTGGAGGGCTCCGGAAAATAGTTACTGCGACCACCACGGTGTGGTGCAAGTAGTCCGAATCGCGTTCTGCCCAGCACACTCGTGACAAAACCGAGAGTGAGCCATCTGCTTAAACAAAACGTGAGAAGTGCTTAAAGAGATGATGTGCTCTTGCTGAGATGAAAGGGGAGATGGATTATAAGAGACGGTCTCGATGACAGATTCTAATATTTCTGTGGCAGTCGACTCATAAAGCAATTACCACCAATGGAGAGTTCCTTCTATTATTCACCTGTAAAAGTGTTGCAGGGTACCTTTAAAGAGCCAGTAAACAACCCCGAGGTCCAAAAATTGTTATAAAGTTCTAGAAATGTGTGTACTTTTGCTTAGTGAACATGCTCCCGCAAGGATTTTGCGAATACGTGCTATATTAAGGAAGTTACAGTAGTTAGAACATCAGATTTCAGCTCATTTTAAATTTTCATGCGGCATTGCCACCCTTCTCCCTCACAGAGAGCGGAAGGTGTAAACCGATTGACGAGCTGCGTGCTGCGCCAATTCCGCTGTCTGGTGACATTGCATCACTTCGCACTGAAAGAAGGATTGGTCAGGCACAGGAAAGGAGCGCGGGAATCGCTTTTTAATATGTAGCCTCTGCACGGCGCCCAGCTCTATATTATTTGGAAAACGTGATCGCCACAATCTACACTACAAATCGCCCAGCTTCTTTGGGGGTTGTAAAAAAGAGCCTGTTGACTGGCTTCTAACATGGGCGCTTAGTAATAAAGTGATACTTACATAGCAGAAACCATGTGCTTAGTACGCCAGCTATTTCGAAAACGCCAAGTGTCGAGATGGGAGCACTTTGTCATTAGTACCCACCCTAAATGCTGCATTTGGTAAGTGAACTTTGAAGAAGAAATTGTTCACGACATCTCCGCCCAAAATTGTTCTGAAGGCAGAGTTAATCTGTTGGGCCAGCGCATAAGTTGAGGGCACAGGGTCGGGTACCCACAACTACTAAACCAGCTCACTCTCCTGTTGCAGAACTTGGCTCGAGTGATTGCTTCAAAAGCCATCACCCAAGAACCTCATCCTGCTGAACTAAAGCCAGCACTCATTTGCATAGAAATTGCTTCAGCAGAACAATAGGTCCTACATGAAGCTTGAAAATGTCACAGTGATGCAGCTACAACTGAAACTTAAAACAATGAACGTGAAGCGAATCGCAGAAGAGTTTTTATGTAAAGCCCAATTCGATATATATATAATATTTCATATGTTGAAAATGTTTTCAACGAAATTTGACAACAGTTCGATATACACAAGAATTATGAAAGTTTGACTACATAGACAGGAAATCAGATACATTATAGTGCGCTCATATTGAAAATTGCAAAATCTCCCTGAAACATTTTCAATGTGTACAATATTTTATACATATATCATTACTTTTATACTTATATACATTTTTTGAGACACTCTTGAGGACAGCTTCAAAATAGCATGAAAATAGCATGAAAATAGAAAGAAGCCAGCGTGTACCCATCGTCTTGAGAAGGCACTGAGTGAGGTGTCGAAGGGGCTGCCCAGTTGAGGTGAGTGTAGGGAAAACAGGGCGTCTTGCGCATTGCCTGCAGCAAGTTTGGCCGGAACTCTGGGTCGATGCACCACAGGGATCCCTTGCCAATGTTCTGCAATGTGCACAGACACGCAAACACATGAGCACACAAGCTCGGAAAAGCACGAAGGGCAAGTTGGAACAGTTTCAGTCTTGACGGTAATCAGTATGCTGCTCAATACCTAGAGGTGCTGAGCAGCGTATTTAGCAGGTTTCTGTCTCCATTTCCATACAACCTCCTAGCGTTAGCATAGTGCACTGATCCCTATCATGACAGAACACCTGTTAATACAGCTTACAAGAAAACGACAGCAAATCGTGTGCGAAGTCAAAAAAGGATGAGGCTCAGTTTAACTTAGCCCGTCTCTTAGCTGATTTGCAAAAACAATAACAAAAAATCCCTCGGCCAGTTTCCCGCCAGGAAACGTCAGACAGTGATAGCTGTAAGAGCACAAGTGTATGTGAGGGTAGACTTAAGACAGTGTAGTTTAATTTCGAGCATCATCATCCTAATTCTGTTCTATTAAATTTTTTAGGGGCTAAGCTTCTTATGGTGTGGCTCGTTCATCCTCCGCTTGTAAGTAGTATGTTTATTAATTGCTCACGAAATGGCTTTGTGTGTATATGTCCTCGGAAGTAATATCACTAGATAGAATTAGTGGTTTTCATATAGTTGACAATTAAAGAGGATGAATGGTGCTGTTATAATAAGAAATTCGCAGCATATCCACAGAGTGAATTATGATGAGTGGGGCGAAGCATCCGTCAATTCGATGCGTGCTCCAGTGCGGGGCAAAGCGTTTGTCCATCCGATGCGTGCTCTAGTGAGATAGGAGCAGACGAATGGATGGAAAGACAGACAGACAAACGGACGGACGCTTCCCTCCACTTATCATCATTCACACAGTGGCTATCCTATGACTTTTTTATTCACCCCCCCCCCCCTGGTCAGATGATCTGTGTGACGCTGGAAAGACATGCATGTACTACAGGCTCGACTTAATAAAGCTCTGCTGTTAAAAGAAATGGGAAGTGCATGAATAGACAGACCCGATCTGACCGGTAGCAGAGGGCAACAAGGCATTAGCATAAAAAAAAAAGGCAAGACGTGGAAACGGCGGCTCCGCTACTCTCTAGTCCGGATTCTGCTATCATAGAGTTTCCCATAAATAATACACTAGAGGGAACTCGGGCACTAGAGTCCATGGGAGCAGCAATACACGGCGCTTCAGCAAGAATGGGAATGATGGATTGCACACGGTTTGCCTAATCTTCTTACTTTCGGCTCCGCTTGGCGTCGCGTGGCTTGGCCCTGCTTTGTCACGAGACAACAATCACCAAATGTTCAGCAGTTGCACTTCACCATCTTTACCTTTTAGGCTCACCAATTCAAATCAGCTCATGAAGTTCACAACGGTCCGCGCTTGTATTCTAAACAAAACCGAAACACAACAATGAACAAAGCTACAAGTGCGTTCGAAGCCCGCAAGCACAAAGACTAGGCAAATCCCTGTACTACCCATCATTCCCATGGTTGCTGAGCGATCACAGCGCCAGAGTCCTCTCTAGTTGATTTTAGAAAACTCTATGGCATCAACATCAAAACAGGCACTGCGACTAGGAAGCAGCGGCCATGCTACTTTCTAGTCTGGATGTTGCTGCACACATTCTCACCTGTCCTTTGTCCTTGTCGACCTTGCGGAAGCACTTGTTGAGGGAGAGGTTGTGCCGGACCGAGTTCTTCCACCCTGTGGGGGCCCGCTGGAAGTAGGGGAAGTGGCCCAGGATCCAGGCGTAGATGTCCTTGACGGGAAGGGCCTTGCCGGCTGACTCCTCGATCGCCATGAAGATGAGGCAACTGAACGAGTACGGGGGCTTCGATGTCACGTGCACCTGAGAAAGAAAGCGCTGAGTCAGCCATCCATTCATAGCCAGACTTGTACAGCGAGGCCAACACAACTTGACCAACAGGACCCAACTGACAGCTCTGTTTAGCCATGCCGTATCATCTTGAGATGCTACTGGCACAGACTAGACGGGCACGCATGTCCCATGCGCATGTGTATGTCCAAAATGTTATAGCATAGTGTGCACACATTTTTATATAACTGCTCGTGCATGGGTGGCACGAGCTTTACTACATCGTGAAAAGAGCCCGGCCTTTCTTTGAACCACCTGTTCATGTCGTCGACACATGCGTCAAACAAAAATGACTGCTCAGTCAAACGTTGAAAGCGAATGATTCACTGCTCAACATGTTGATCTGACTTATAACGACAAGCATGTCAACAAAGAAAACTACACTTGACGACATCCGCCTGCCCGGCTCTCATTTCAAATCAGAATGGTGCCTCCCCACGAAATAAATTTCTGCCTATGCGCATTTTCCATATATGGGGACTGTAGGAGCCCTCCACAATTTATTGATAAAACACATATTGACCTGAACGGTGGATAAGATAGGTAGGTAGATAAATGAATAGACTAATGCACTCTGTGCTTAAAGGGCCCCTTAACCACCCAGCGGTCGAAATTAAGTTGAAATGAGAAAATTGTGCTCGAGTTTATAACGAACACGTAGCCGTGAGAATTTTTCGAAACGGTGCCGCAATAGCTGAGTTACACGCGTTTGATGATCAAAACGCGACGGTCGCTTCTTTCCCTCTTTCCTCTTTCTTATGCTACCCTCACCCAAAACCGCTTGGCCCCTCCTCGCTAAGTCAGCTGAGTGTCCCTCCTCATCTCGCGTGGCATACGTCACCGCTGACGCACTGTTCGATACAGCGTCTACTTCCGGTCGCTACCCTCTTCCAAAACCACTTGGCCCCTCCTCGCTGAGTGTCCCTCCTGATATCGCGTGGCATACACCACCACTGACGCACTGTTCGAGATAGCGTCAACTTTCAGTTGCCGCGAGCCGCCGCTCCGCGACCCAGCTCACCGTCAACTGTGTTGTGTGTGTCATCTGGGTACACTGATCATTGACTAACCACTGTTGCTGCCGTGCAGGCTCGTGCCCCTACGAATTGTGCCGGTATGGACCCTGTGTTGCGTTACGGGCCACAGATGTCGATTCGCAAGTGGCAACACGACCAAGAACAGCAAAGTGCGCGCGAACAGTTGTTTGTAGTGACCGGAAGTCGTCGGTTGTCGTTCGGCCAATCGCAAGCATCGGAAGTGGTAACGTCATCAAGTTTCACTAGTGATGTCACACATGTCAGTGGCGGGAACCGGTAAGAAGCAGCTATTGTTTTTTCGAAATTGTGGCGCGCCCGCTACCTGTAGCGCTGCGGCGTGTGGCATCGCTAATCGTGACGGCATTCTGCACGCGATGCGCTTGCTTACTTGAAATTTTTGGGAAAATATCGGAGGGATTTAGGGGCCCTTTAAAATAGAGCCGCACGCCTCTACAATGAACACTTGTACAAAGAATGTGTGTGCACACCAAATTATTTCGCGTATTCCAGCTTGATTGCAAGCGTTTTGGTACGTGTCCACTATGAAATGGCCTCTTCAATAAAGTGCTTCGAGGGTTCCAATCATTTAACTTTACATGCATTTGAGAGTAACAGTGGCTGCTGCTGTGCCCTAAAGTACAGCCAGTTGAAGCGTTTCCACACCTGGGGGTTGTAGGCCACCTGCCCCGGGGGTCCCCACTCTCGGGACTCGTCGTCCTCGCCCACCGAGGTGGCCGATGTCGTGCTGCTAGAACTCCGGCTGCCCGTGGCCGTGGCTATCGTCCCGTTCCCCTGGTGGTTGGTCGACGAAGACGGTGGCCCGGCTAACTTGCGCAGCAGGTTTGCCTCCTAAGGGACAACGAGGGAAAGACAAAGGGGAAAAAAATGGCTGTGCATCCCCCTGCTTCGCTGCAAAGGACATCGAAAGATCAAAGACTCCTCTCTGGAGGCGTTGCATGAGATGTGGTGCCATCTGGCAGTAATGTGATGAGTTTTTTTAGAATACAGAGCCACTAGTAGGTGGCAGCACCACGTCTTTTAGTCAAAGCCCCTAAACTTTTTAGTGAAGCGTAGGAAACACCCGCTTTTTCGCTCATGTCATCGCATTGTCGGCGCAGCGTAATGAACCCTTCGGTGTTTAGAATTATGTATCTTTGCATTTTCTAACTAAAAAGACACACTGCCTAACACTTGCGTATCGATCTTGTGCCTCAAATACGTGTAATATTTGATTTTATTAGACAATGTTCACAAGTATGAGTGCAACCACCAGGTGTAGATGGGTGGGCTTCAGAGAACGGGCCTTAAATTTCGCCGGGTGGCTGAATCGTTGGACAGACACCGATAGTCAAGACAGACCAAAACTTATGTGCTGAAGTATCCCTTAGAAAGAGCCTTTAAATGGTCAGTTCTAGTCTGACCTTTTCCTAAAGTGAGCTAAGTGAAACAAGGGCAGGTCTAGGGTGACCAGGTAGCCAACAGGTATCGTAGCACTCGCAGACTATCGACAACCAGAAAAGCGCTCATCCCGTTGCATCGCACTTGTCTGAGTCTACTACCGTAACAATACACTATGATGCATATAAAAAACTCGCTCAAAAAGCCACTTTGTCTACCTAACTTCCCTTTGAATCCAAACGAGCAATGTATACACTCAAGCCTCGATGTAATGAATTTGGATATAACAAATTATCGGTAATAACAAAGTGAAGAATAGCTTTCTCATAGATGCAATGCTGCAAATAATCTTTTATAACAAATGTCTGGATATAACAAAATATGTTCATGGCAGATCTTACATTGTTATAATGATGTCTGAATGCACAAATAAATAGGCTGTCCTAATAAAAAGGATGTCCTAATAAAAAGGCTGTCCTAATAAAAAGGATGTCCGGACACAAAGCTGGGTGCTGTTGCCAACAGACAGCTGCATGCACTAAATGAAATTCAGCATCGCAGCCAACATTCGATGTGCTTTTTTGCAAGCGACTGTCGGGCCGGCGCATAAGTTGAGAGCACATAAGCAGGTGCCAGCAACCACTAAACCAGCTCGAAATTTTATAGCAGCATTCGGCATAGGCAGCTCGTTTATACTTTGCTGCCCAAGAGCCTCGTACTGCAGTAATGTTGTATATTTATGAAGGTCCTCCACTAAGCCACACTTTGATTAATCCCTTCGACTGCTAGGTGCTGTCTGGGGAGCACTAAATCATACTGTTTCTTTTGGTTGCACTGACACAAACTTTGGAAGGCAATTTTACCCTGCTGTACAAATTTCCTGAATACAGAAACGCCTCTGTGCAAGTATGAAACTCCGCAAACGCTGATAAATATTTCGTTTTGACATTGTCAATTTCGGATGGGGCACCTACCAACACCGGCAACGAGTCCCAACGCATATTCAGCCGACTTCAAGCACAGGTAGGGCTATTCTGACGACATCAGACCGAAACATTCAAAATGGCCACTAGTGCGTCACCAATGAACAGGGGAGCTGAGGAAACGACATGATACTTTGCACCAGCACGCGACGGGAAGCTCACGGAGTCGTACAGTAAAGCGCATGATGGTCAAGGATTTCAAAGAGAGTTTTTCACACTTCAGCGATGCTGGCTGAACGAAATTCCCTGAAACTTGCCATGTTTTGTCTACTGGCCTCCTTAGAGGACAACAAACTATGTACGCCAATGTAGCCACCATCGACATCTATGACGTCACAGTGATCGGTGTGATAGTTTCGAGATCGCAGTGCTGGCCGATTGCTCGTTTTCTCTCTTCCCAAGTTTCCTCTGGAGGCAAGCATAGTGATTTTCATACTGCTACACACTGGTTTACTAACAAGAGAAAAACAGTTTTTCTTTTTCAGTGTCCCTTCAAGGTGAAACCAGGAGAAGCCCAGAAACCATGCGCTGCACCACCCACCTGCAGCCAGGTGAGGTTGGTGAGCTCGTCGTCAGTGGCCTCCTACACCGCCTCCACCCTTGGCAGTGCCGTCGGGGAGCAGGGGTGCCGGTCCGCGAGGGGTCAGAGCCCCCGGAGGGGTGGCTCCCCCTCCAGGCACCCCCTCACGGTGCTGGCACGGGGCCACCTGTGCTGCGTCCTCTCTCATCGGAGGCTCTTCTACCGCCATGCCCCCCAGCGCCCACGGGACGCCACCTGCAAAACATTTTTCAAACTTTGTCAACATTTGTCACACGTAGGTGCAAACCTACCTTCTAAAGACTTACAGAAGACAGGTCCACTAGTCAAAACGTTGGCTCTAGTACACAACCCTTGTTCATGGACTTTTTTTCACTGTACACACTCATAGGGATACATGACCTGCAACATGCTTTAGCACCAAAGAAGAAAATGAAAGAACTCAGAAAGGAGCCTCTTTCGCCCGGTGCACTGTGGTTTCTTTGTCTCCCTTCAGAGTTCTTTCGTTTTCTTCTATTGCACTAAAAAATATGTTGCCCAACATACACTACCAACTCGCCCAGCAAAAAGTTTTTGTTGTAGGAATACATGTTTTACAGTAGGTCCCTTAATGCCCCTTAATCTACTGGAGGCACTGAATGCTTTGACTAGCGCATTCAGAAAGCAAATGCTGTTAAAGGGACACTGAAGTCAAATAACAATTTACATCAGAGTGAAACCTCAATGTAAGACAACATCTAAAACGACAATAATATCAACAACAGTGCCCTACTTACCGAGAAATTAACAGTAAACGCAAAAGAACACAAGTGCCGCAAGTAGGACATTTTCAGAATGATCCCAGTAACATCAGATGGCCCACCTACAATTATACACTAGTAATGGATTTAGCTACACTAAATTAAGAACCCTCCGTACATTCGTACATCAAGAGACGCTATAAAATGCTGCTTGTTCGTTTCTGTTTGATCCATGTAAAAGAGAACCGCCGAACGTTACTATGGGGAACTGGTGCGAGTGGTTCAAAAATTCGATTTTCGCGTGGTTACACGGGACATGTGGTGCGATCTAGAGGGGCGCATTTGAAAAAAAAAAAAAAAATGGTCTGCAAGCTCGAACTCAATGGCAGGAAATTGATCAATGGCTGCTGTGGCTCCCGCTGCTTTCGGTCTGCTACTACTAGTGCAGTAAAGCCGGGCAACGTTGTGCACGGCAGCAGTGACATGAATCGGTCCGGTTGGTCCGCTTCTTGAGGCAGGTAATTTGAAGTGCACTAACCCGATGCGGACCATTAAAACGCGATTTTATTTTCGAAATAGGCCCTTCCTTGGGACAAAAGTAATACTATGACGTTTCTGGACCGCTATTTCAACAATCAACCTCAACTTAATAGTAGCTTCAGTGTCCCTTTAAGGAAGGATCTCCTGCCAGTGATGCAGCAAGCACTGTTTACACCGAACAGCATCAAAAAAAAAAAATTTAACTAGGAGGAAGCATAAAGAAAAAAGTAAAACACCAAAATATGGTGACGATACAGTCGGACAACTTTAGAACTGAATGCTCTGAATAAGATACAATCACTGAAGTTCTGGGCTACACTGTAAGTTATACAGTCCATGACATTTACAACGAAGTGAACTGCAAGAACAAGGATTTTGAAAACCCTTAGCAATTTCGTTGAGTCAGCATATTGCATCAAATAATAAGTTACAGTAACATAAACCATATAATAATTGACAAGAAGAATGCAAAAGCATCTAGGAATGAATCGTAGTTACAGCATACAACTGATTTACAACAACTAAACTAATACAAGTGGAAGTAACGCAGAGAACTAGTTCAAGCAAAGACGGGATATTAAGACACACTGTTCTCAACATTATGTTTGGCACACCACATGACACCGCCCTGCCGCGGTGGTCTAGTGGCTAAGGTACTCGGCTGCTGACCGACAGGTCGCGGGTTCAAATCCCGGCTGCGGCGGCTGCATAACCGATGGAGGCGGAAATGTCGTAAGCCCGTGTGCTCAGATTTGGGTGCACGTTAAAGAACCCCAGGTGGTCGAAATTTCCGGAGCCCTCCACTACGGCGTCTCTCGTAATCATATGGTGGTTTTGAGACGTTAAACCTCACAAATCAATCAATCAACACCACATGACACCAAGCCAACAATGATTTGACACATATCTAAGGCTGTGGCATTTGGCATAAGGTCACTTAAGTGACTAGGTTTAAATGGGCAAAAGTTGTGAGAAACACTGTAGTCCCAGGCAACGAGAAGCAATTTCAACCACTTGAGAATTCTTGCTGACGTGCTTCAAGAAAGAGACATCACAGGTCTTTCAAATGCTACTGCAGGTGGGAAAAAATTTCGGGGCTCAAAGTTTGGGGGGTGCAGCACCCTACACGAGCACAGCCCCAATTCGAGTGTACGTAGCAATGCTTGGCTGATGCTTTCTAGCTTTTTGCCCCCAGTATGATCACAGAAGCTCCCGTAAACATATTACACTTTTACTAAATATTAGAAGTCCTTTGCCATGTGTTCAGTAATACCTATACCTAGGCTAAGGACAAATTCCATTGCAGCATACACAGAAGGCACTGAAACTTGTGGCAATTGTGTTTTCCGCATTGCTTTAAAAAGAAAAGTTGCCACTGTGGTCTGATCTGTCTGCGAATTTTCTTTTAAACCTACCAACTTTATAAAGCTTCATTCACACCCCTGATACATTCTGTACCTTCCTCGCTCCTACAATGCACATGTTATTATCAAAGTCGTGCCACAAGTTACATGCAAATCACTGACGAAATAGCATGAGTTCTGAATGTGCTAGTTTTCCAGATATTCATGTTAATGATTGTTTTTATTTGGTTCTTCAGTTTTGTTTGACAACAAAGCGTACATAAATCCGTTCCTGAACGTTGCGCATCACCTGAACATGTTATTGCTTACTTAAACGAAGCCACAGCGTTTAAACACATTTATTTGTTTTATTTTTTTGCAGAACTAAGAGAAAGAACATTATGCCATGAAGATTAGGCGAATCAATGACATCTTTCGATCTCGCCGATAGCTAGGCCACGTCTGTCGCAGCACATGCGAACCTGAATCATTCCGATAGTTATAGCGCGAGAACAGATCGACGTCAAAGAGACAAGAAGGACACGAAGGACACCTTCTTGTCTGTTTGTCGTCGTTCTGTTCTCGCGCCATAACTATCGTCATGTCATACCAACTAGCCCAAGCTGCCTCACTTCTGACTCATTACGCTTACTAAACCGGATATTCATATTTTGAACGTTTGCACATCGCGAGCCAGTCGTACACGGAAACGAACGACTCGAATCATGCCAGAGATGACAAGATGTCGCTACAATTAAATCTTCACGGAACTCGGGAAAACTACACCTTACAGATCGCTCCCTGAAAGCTAAGCAGCAGTTGAAAGAAACAAAGAAACCGCGACAGCAAAACACGACAGACACATTACCTAAGGTCCAAAAGCAGGCCGGGGATATCGCTAGGAGACCGGAAGGGGTTCGGAAACAAACCATTACTCGGGCAACCCGACAACAGAAACGGTAGCGACGTGTATACAATCTCGCGCGGAGCTTCGCTGGTCTGCCGAAGAGTTTCGGAAGGCAACGCGACTTTCACGCGCGCTTCGTTCCCGTCCTAAAAAAAAAAAAAAAAAAAACGAACGCGATCGGAGAGAACAGGGCGTCAGCGTGGTCGCGATCGTGGCCGTAGTGGGCACAAAAAAAAAAAAAAAAAACCCCGGACTCGCGGCGTAAAGCCCACCGTCTCCCCAAAATGCGCGAGTTTCCAACGTGTTTTTCAACAAACGGCCATGAGGCGCGCTCGCGCTGCCCCTAGCAACGGAGCCGAGCGTCACTAAGAGAGGGGATAGGCAAATATGCGAAAAAAAAAAAATGAAGCACGATATGACAGGCAGGCAGGCAGGCAAGTGAACAAGGAGAGCGCTTCTTTGAAGCATTCGACGTCTCCGCCTCTTACCTATGCTACGCCAGCCGAAGTGCACGAATATTCTGGACGAAGCCACGGCGAACAAAAACACGCGCAGCGCGACCGAATCAGGCCACTGACGATACCAGCTTTTTTTTTTTTTTCTTGCTTTACCCCTACGAGTTGTAAAAGCGCACTAATTCGACGAAATCTCAAACACCAGCAGCAGACCACCACACAAAACTACGGCGGCAGCAGCAGACGAACGAAGGAAGTGAGGAGGAGGAGGAGATGAGAGCGGGAAAAAAAAAGGCGAAGAGGGCGCCACCCCACCACGCTTTCCCGCGGAAGCTCGCACAGCGCGAGACCACGCGCGAGCGGTCTCCGTTGTCATGACAACGCGTCCAGCACGTGTTCACCGCACGGACGCCTTCCTTCCTTCCTTTCCTCTTCTGCTGCGTTGGGATTGAAGCGGGCTTGGTGAGTACGCTTAAACGCGTTTCGGGGACGTAGTTTAAAGGTCAGGTTAACTTAGTTGGGCAGGCCGTGAGTATTGGTGTTAGAAGGAGTGGGTGGGTGAGTTCTGGGTTGAAAAGGCCTTAATCCTGCGGCGAACATGAAAGTGGGTTGCAGTTGCTGACGATGATCATGCGAAGAATGCAATACGCAGCACTAGACCACAAGAGCAGCCCCGCCGCGGTGGTCTAGTGGCTAAGGTATACTCCGGCTGCTGACCCGCAGGTCGCGGGATCGAATCCCAGCTGCGGCGGCTGCATTCCCGACGGAGGCGGAAATGTTGTAGGCCCGTGTGCTCAGATTTGGGTGCACGTTAAAGAACCCCAGGTGGGCAAAATTTCCGGAGCCCTCCACTACGGCGTCTCTCATAATCATATGGTGGTTTTGGGACGTTAAACCCCACAAACCAACCAAGCCCATAAGAGCACACACATGCCAATCAGAAGTTGTGGGAAAATACTGACGATTATTGTGCTCGGATAGAAAACAATTTTTAAGAGATAAGGACCATTCTCATTTAGGAAATGCGACTGGCGAATTCTGTGCAGGAGGCTGTGAACAGGCCCACTCTGTCAGCACCACCGACAGGACAGACAGAAATGTTCGCTGTATTTTTTTTTTTTACTTGTAAGCATTTCATAATTACGGCGTCCGTGTCCCGTCACATCCGCAGCAACACGTTTTCCAAGTTTTTCCAAGCTTTCGGAAATGTAGATAGACGCTGAAAAAACTAAAAGGTACCCACAAAGGTTGC